GAAAGAGAACACAACGTTTCGGCCGTGGAGCCTTCTTCAGGTGTGTGAAGAAGACACCTGAAGAAGGCTCCACGGCCGAAACGTTGTGTTCTCTTTCTTCTTTTTTTCAGCATGGAATAAACCTATTACTTGTTCCAATATAACTCAGTAGTTTGCTGGAGACTCTCATATCTAAGAAGGTGTTAATGTGTCACAAGTGAGAATGCTGACAATATTGGCAACCAAAAGTCTACATTTAAAAAAGTGGTGAGATCCAACCCGTGCAAAAACTGGAAGCTTGGGTTTAGACTAAAGCCTCACCTTTCTGAAACATGTCTAGCAAGAGAAAGAAAATGTGTAAAAATGCTTAAGTATTCCCAAACAAATAATTGATTTTACATCCTTTCACATTATTAATAAACAACCACAGTCTGAATAGTTAGCACGGCCTGTAGGTTGCTTATACTCTAGCCAACCTGGTAGAGTGGCTCTATATTAATTACTAATGCATCGTTATAAAATGCAAAGAACTCAACACAACGTTCATAAGCACATGGCTACATCTCACACCTCCCTGTGATTCTACATCAAGGCTTCTGTCAGCGGACACCTGCACATAAAATACCATTTCTAGTGTGTGTAGGAAAATCACACTTTCTAATCATCAACTTGTACAGCAATGGTGACTAGTGTTGAGCTGTTGATGGGCACCATACCTTGACTAATTAACCAATGTGTGTTTGCACTGTGATCTATGAGAAAGCCATGAGAAAGTGCTCTGTAGTTTCATCACTACAGAGGTCAGTTTTATTGCTCTGCAGTAAAATGTCCTATATACAGAACATTCTCTGCCTGAACCGTCTCTATCAAAAACTGAATACAATTAAGTATTGAGCCCCTGCAGGTAGCAAGAAAAGCTTGAAGTGGATTTGGCATTTATTCTAGAAGGAAAGATAATGAAAGCATGTATCATTCTTCTCAAGAAGGCCTCCAAGAAAGTCTGGTAAGTTGAATTGAGGTCCAAGTATTTTGGCCTGTGACTATACCTGTACAGCATTTGTATGTGTCTGTAGAACTTTTAATATAGAAACTTGTTAATAACCTCCTTTTCTTCACTTGATTAAGACAGAATGCACTGATAATATTATTACTTTGGCTAAATGTACTGTTTAGAAACAGTACAAGTGCCTTCCAGAGAGTCATAATTAAAGCAACACTGTATTTCAATGTATTAATACAATTTTTGTTTATACTTCTCTTTTGTCTTCATGCACTTCTTGACAGAGATGTCTATTTGTCAAAACACTACAATCAGCCTCCTGTGAGATGCAGCCAAAGCGATGAAAGACCAAATTAATCCTCAGAGTATTTTCTCGGATATCATAAATAACCTACAACGTTTGCTCCCTGTGAAAGAGCACCCCAGACCCACTTGTGAAGATCCAGTGAAATACAGGGCACGTCTCATTTAGGTGAGATTCCTTTTCGTTAATTTCTTGAGAAACAATGACATGGTAAAATGTGTTGTGATGCTTAAAAATATTGCAAATAAACCTTATTACAAACAATGACGTTTATAATTAAGGAAAGAATTTGTTTCAAACTTCAAGTACTTATTTGTGTGTAAACAAACTCTTGCTTTCTATCTAGCTGTGTGTACAGGAAGCAACAGAGAGTCATGCCAGCTGTCAACACCTCCAGCCTCCATCCAGCAGTGTTCATTTTGATGGGATTTCCTGGGATCGAGCACCTGCAGCACTGGCTGTCTGTCCCTTTCACTGTCCTCTACATCACGGCTCTCACAGCTAACAGCATCCTAATACTAGTGGTCACACTAGAGAAGAGTCTGCACTCTCCCATGTACCTTTTCCTTTGCATGCTGGCAATGGTGGACATCGGTTTATGCACATGTACTTTACCAAAAGTGCTGGAAGTGCTTTGGCTCAACAAGAACATTTCATTTGAAGGCTGTTTTATTCAGATGTTCTTCATTTATTCTTTTGCATCACTAGAATCTTCAATTTTAGTAATGATGGCTTATGACCGATACATAGCCATTTATAACCCTTTACGCTACACAACAATACTATCAAGGACTCTCATAGCAAAAATATTTTTTTCATTTTTAATCAGAGATGTCATTTTAACTGGGCTGATACCAATATTTGCATCCAGATTGCCTTATTGTTCTACTAATGTTGTTCCTCACTGTTACTGTGATCACATGGCTGTTGCAAAACTGGCTTGTGCTAATATTATAATGAACAGTTATTATGGACTGGCAGCAGCATTTTCTATAGCAGGCTTTGATTTTGTACTGATTATCTTTTCTTACATAATGATATTCAGAGCAGTGCTAAAACTTGGAACAAAAGGAGCTCGTTTGAAAGCTCTAAATACCTGTGGGTCTCACTTGGTTGTTATCATGTACTTCTACATTTCTACAATATTTAATTATGTGGTATATAGATTTGGAAATGAAATTCCTGTTCATGTTCACAATATTTTTTCAGTTTTGTGTCTTCTTATTCCTCCAGTCTTAAACCCTATTGTCTATGCAGTTCGGACAAAAGAAATTCGTCAAGCATTCCAGAAACACTTTTTAAGGAGAACAATTAAGCCTAAAATTAATTTTCACTGATTAATGTAGCAATTATTCCAATATCTTGTGAATTTCACTTCTCTGTGTAAATAAAAATGTAAGGAACATAAACAAGACACTGCTGAAAACAAAAGTAAATTGTAAAACTGAGATATGGAATCAGGCTTTCTTAACATTAAAATGTGACTCTAAAAAGAGTTGAGCAGAAATTAAATTTGGTAAGTATGAGAATGCAAATTAAAGGGAAAAAAAGTGCCAGAGGTGAAGTGATTTCAAATTGTTTATTTGATGTCACAGCCAGTAAAATTCCAGTTAGAAACTGTAAGCTATAGTACATTTCAGAATTCTTAAAACATACATTTATTTATTATAATGCTAGAAATTAACTTTGGAAATACAGTAATATCAATTATTGTGTTTTTAATGCCCAACATACGCAGTATATGGAAAGAAAATGAGAGAGAGGATGTTAAAACTGCAGAGAGCGAAAACATAAGAGTGTGAAAAATAGAATATTTTGTGTTGTACAAAAAGGTTAACTGAAATAACTGGTTTAAAACATTGCGTACACCATAAAAAATCCTTCTATATATGCTGTACACAATTATATACTGTATGTGAATGCACTGTATTTCATGAGTCACCTTTTAATTTGGTTAATCTGTTTTCTTGTTTACAGTAAACATTTGTACTCTCTTGTGGTTTAAAATTTCCAGTCTCACAGGCAATGATGTTATGAAGCATTTAAGCAGGGTGATGCGAGTACCTGCTGGCTTCAAACCAGGCTGTGAATGAAACTGAACCCGACTCTCACACACCTTTCTGAAGTAAAGTGAAATTTGCTGCATTGAACTTCTGACCAAAGAAGTTAAATTTGATTATATTTGGTGAACACATTTACTACTTTTAATGTTATTGAGAAAAAGAATCTAAAATAAATAGAAACATCAAATATAAGACGAGCATCACCCCCTCATTGTCCCCTACCCATTACTGGTGCCCCCCTAAATAAAATGAAATCTGTCCACAAAGACGTTCCTTTTAACTATGCATTGTACTGTTCATATATATTCTGTACATTCTGTACATAGAGATTCATAACTTAAAAAAATGGTAGCATTTTTTGTGCTGTTTGTGTCACTCAGTAAGTTAGTGGTTTGAAACCATTGATCCTGTAGCCTGCACCAGGGATCCTCAATCATGGTCCTGGAGGGCTGCTGTGTTTACAGGTTTGAGTGCAGCTGGGGTCCTTCTTGCTAAATTATACCAGTTTAACAGCTTCTTTCTGCTCTTTATGATGGTACAGTATGATGCAGGGGAAGAGACCTGGAAAACCTGCAGACACACTGATTCTCCAGGGCCAGAATTGGGAACCCCTGGCCTACACAGTCTTTAAAGATAGATAGTTAAGACTTTATTGATCCCTAGGGAAATTGATGTGTTACAGCAGCCCAAGACAAGCAATAAAAACAGACATCAGAATAGACAAAACATTAGAATACGTACAATAATAAAAAATAAATATAAAATAAAATAAACAAAAATAAAGACATAGGTGCGTGCAAAATATGATCATAGTCACTGTAAAAACAATAAAAAAATGAGCAAAATGTGCATAGGTATATACAGATTGAGTATCCAAAAAGTACAATGGAGCAACATGCTGTCCATAGACGAGCAAATGAAGGGCTAACAGTCCCAGCCTAGGGCAGCATTATACACCCTGACAGCCGCCGGGGGGAGTTCCCTTGAACACCGTAGCTGGAGCAGTCTGTTGATAAAAGTGCTCCGCTGCCCAGTAACAGTCCCATGAAGCGGATGAGAGGTGTTGTTCATGATGGCTGTGAGCTTGGTCAGCATTCTCCTCTCAGCCACCACCTCCAGGGGGTCAAGGCTCAGCCTCAACAGCCTCATTTTTTTACTGTCATAGAAGAGCCAGCTTTCTTGATAAGTTTATTGAACCTATTTGCATCTCGTCATGATGCTGCTGCCCCAGCACACAGCACTGATTAATAAAAAATGTGTAGCAATGTTCCACACACACCAAAGGACCTGAGCCTCCTTAGAAAATAGAGTTGGCTCTGACCTTTCTTGGACAGGGCGTCAGTGTTACCAGACCACTCCAGCTTATCATCCAGGTGTACCCCTAAGTACTCGTAGGACTGCACCCCCTCTATGTCCTCACCCTGGATGGAAACAGGGTTCAGCGGAGACTTATTCCTTCAAAAGTCCAAGACCATTTCTTTGGTCTTGCTGGTGTTTAGCTGGTGATGGTTAAGATGACACCACTCCACAAAGCTGGTAATCAAGCTCCTATACTCCTCCTCCCTCCCCTCTCTAATACACCCCACAATTGCAGAGTCATTCGAAATCTTCTGCAGATGACATGTCTCAGAGTTATACCTGAAGTCAGAGGTGTAAAAAGTGAACAGGAATGGAGCTAGGACAGTCCCCTGTGGAGCCCCAGTACTACTAACAACCTGTTCGGACACGCAGCTCTGTAGCCGTACATAATACTGTGGCCTGCAGGTCAGATAATCTATAATCCAGGACACCAGGGGAGTGTCCACCTGTGCCACCCTTAGCTTATCTCTCAGTAAAGGTGGATGGATGGTGTTAAAGGCACTGGAGAATTCAACTAACATATCTCTCACAATGCTCCCCGTCTTCTCCAGCTAAGAGTTAGCTCTGTGTAGCAGATAGATGACTGCATCCTCCACTCCCAGGTGTGACCGGTAGGCGAACTGCAAGGGGTCCAGTGCTGTACTCACCAGGGTTCTGAGGTGGTCCAGTACAAGCCTTTCCAGAGTTTTCATTAGGTGTGATGTCAGTGCCACTGGTCTGAAGTCAAGACTTTAGGGTGCCCCTTTTTGGGTACTGGTACCAGGCAAGATGTCTTCCAGAGCACCAGAACCTTTTCTAATCTCAGGCTGAGGTTGTAGATGTACTGCAGCACTAAACCCAATTGGTCCGCACAGATCTTTAGCACCCTGGAGCTGACACCGTCAGGACCCGCTGCCTTCCCTGCACGGAGTCTCCTCAACTCCCTTCTGACCTGGTCAGCTGTAATGGATAGGCAGAGGAGGGCAGAGGAAGATGGAGTAGGAGTAGGAGGGATCACATAATGGGGTGACTGAGGACATGAAGAGAGAGTCTGGAGTGAAGGCCTGTGAGGTGAATCTTAACAAAGATTAACAAATTAACAAATTAACATAGATGAACAAATCTATGACAATAAAAAAACCCGAATGCCTACATCTTACTTAGTGATGTCAGGTGATTTAAGACCATTAAAATCGTTGCACAACAATAAGAGGCCTTGCAACCCATTAGCATGTGTGGTTGCTAGGATGTAATTGATCTAAAGATCTCATCTACAGTACCAATTTCTTCAAAGGACCAGGATGTCATCCTCAACAATATAACTCAGTAGTCTGTTGGAGACTCTCTTAACTAAGAAGGTGTCACAACTGAGAATGCTGACAATATTGGGAACTAAAAGTCTACATTTAAAAAAGTGGTGAGATCCAACACATGCAAAACCTGACAGGTTTGGTTTAAACTAATGCCTCACTTTTCTGAACAATGTCTAGCAAGTGTAAAAATGCTTGAGTATTCCCCCCCACAATAATTGATTGTACATCCTTTCACATTATTAATAAACAACCACAGTCTGAATAGTTAGCAGGGCCTGTGTAGCTTTTATTCTAACCAAGCTGGTAGAGTGGTTAAGTGCCTGTAGAAATTGTAATATAGACACTTGTTAATGACCTCCTTTTCTTCACTTGATTAAGAGAGAAGACACTAAGAATGCTGACAATAATGGTAATATTATTACTGAGGCTAAAGGAACACTGTTTAAAAAATAGTACAAGTGCCCTTCAGAGTGTCAGAATTAAGGTAACATTGTATTAAAATGTCTAATTACAAGTTTATTACAATACGTCTCTTTTGTCTTCATGTATTTTGTGATAGAGATGTCTATTTGTCAAAACACAACAATCAGCCTCCTGTGAGATGTCTTGACCAAAAGCAAATGAGATGCAGCCAAAGCGATGAAAGAACAAATTAATCCTCAGAGTATTTTCTCGGATGTCATAAATAATGTTTGCTGCAATGTTTGCTCACCGTGAAAGAGCACCCCAGACCCACTTGCAAAGATTCAGGCAAGTACTTGTCAGTTTGGTAAGATTTCCGTTATTAATTTCCCAAGAAATTGATGCATGGTAAAATGTGTACTGTTGCTTAAAAAATGGAAATAAAACTGATAATGAGTGCTGGCTTTAAATATTTGAAAAAGATTAATTTGTTTTAAACTTCAAGTGCTTATTTGTGTGTAAACAAACCTCTTGCTTTCTATCTAGCTGTGTGTGCAGGAAGCAACAGAGAGTCATGCCAGCTGTCAACACCTCCAGCCTCCGTCCAGCAGTGTTCATTTTGATGGGATTTCCTGGGATCGAGCACCTGCAGCACTGGCTGTCTGTCCCTTTCACTGTCCTCTACATCACGGCTCTCACAGCTAACAGCATCCTAATACTAGTGATCAGACTAGAGAAGAGTCTGCACTCTCCCATGTACCTTTTCCTTTGCATGCTGGCAATGGTGGACATTGGTTTATGCACAAGTACTATACCAAAAGTGCTGGAAGTGCTTTGGCTCGACAACAAGGACATTTCATTTGAAGGCTGTTTTATTCAGATGTTCTTCATTTATGTTTTTGTATCACTAGAATCCTCAGTTCTAGTGATGATGGCTTATGACCGATACATTGCCATTTATAGCCCTTTACTCTACACATCAAAACTGTCAAGGACTCACATAGCAAAAATGTTTTTTTTATTTTTAATCAGAGACATCATTTTAACTGGGATGATACCTACATTAGCATCCAGATTGCCTTATTGTTCTTCTAATATTATCCCCCATTGCTACTGTGACCACATGGCTGTAGCAAAACTGGCCTGTGCTAATATAACCATGAACAGTTATTATGGACTGTCAGTGGCATTATTTATAGCAGGCTTTGATGTGGTACTTACTTCATTTTCTTATATAATGATATTCAGAGCAGTGCTAAAACTTGGATCAAAAGAAGCTCGCTTGAAAGCATTAAACACCTGTGGAGCTCATTTGTTTGTTATCCTGACCTTCTACGTAACTTTAATGTTTAATTATTTTTTATACAGGGTTGGTAATGGAATTCCTGTTCATGTACACAATGTATTTTCAGTTTTGTATCTCCTCATCCCTCCAGTATTAAACCCCATTGTTTACTCTGTTAGGACTAAAGAAATCCGTCAAGCATTTTTGAAACACCTCATGAGGAGAAGAGTTGACCCATATGCAAGGCATTAGTAATGAGATGAGGCAATGCTTTTGGTTTATAAGAGCTTGATCAAGATGCATTTAGTTAACATTATTTATAAATTATTTATAAAATAAATGCTACAAATATATAATAATGATGTGAAACTATAGTGCAAGATGTCTGCAAAAATGAGTTTTGCAGATGACATAAAATATATGTTGACTGGCATTACTATGTGAAGAATATGATTTTAAAACATACTGTACAATTAAAAAAAATGCCTGAACAGTTACATTTTAATTTCATATCATTTTAGTATAAAAACCTTGTGTCAATCACAGTTTCTCAAACAAATATAAACATCTTTTTAGCTGAAGGAAATCTTCACTTTTTCCTTTATAGCCAAAATGCTGACAGAGCTCTCTAGTTTAACCTCATGAAAGTGTACAGCAGTTTGTAGTGGATAAAACACAGAGAAATTAAAATGTTCTGTAAATGTACGGTAGCCCATCATCAGCCTCTCATGTGGCGATCAATGGTGTTTCACAGTTCAAGGGTACTGTACTGAGTGAAATATTACCGTGTTGTTCTGCAACACTGGGTAGTTTGATCCATCTGTGCTCTCAGTCTCTAGATTGATATACAGTACACCATCCAGTAAACAGTTTACCACTAAACTAGTTTAATTCCACACATTTCCGAACCCTGTGATGGCCAACAGAAGAATTAAAGCTGGAGAATGTGGTCCTCTCTAGTGGCTCAAGCAGCAAACTGCTCGCTGCAGTGCAGGCTAAGCTCTGTGATCCAAGTGTCAGGCTCCTGCCTGGGTCATGTCACTAGCCAGCTGTAGCTGGGACTCCAAAGCCATGGAGCAGAACTGACTGAGCACCATGTTAAAAGATATTGTAAATGGCTTGAAAGTTGATGGGTTGGAGGAGTCACCTAAACCTCCTCAATCCATTTCTGCATGCTTGGTAGGTTTACAGGTACAAGAGAAGATCCAAAAATGCACAAAAGGCTATTGAATATCAGATACCGTAAGTGTGACAAAAATAATTAGTGATTCTGTATTATTATAAAGATGGAGGAATGTGAACTGGAATATCCAGTTTTGGTGTCATAACGCATTATTTCTGTATTATGACACCATACATTATTATCCAACATTATGCATAATGCACTATTGTATTATTACAGTGGTTCTCAAACTTTTTGGACCAAGTACCACCCCTAATCCAACCTAAGCATCCAAGTACCACCTACAAGTCATCATCTCATAGGAACCCCAGAAATTCTCAATGACCAACATGATCGCGCGTGCACACACACTCACACATACATATAATAAATATTATAATAATAAACTTTATTTGATATAGCGCCTTTAAAGGTGGCTTCTCAAAGTGTCTTATAGAAAAAGAAACAGTAACAACAACTAATAAAAAAGCACCATTTCAGTGAGAGGGGTGAGCCTGTTTAGTCGAGCAAAGCAGATGTGAATAAATTTTCCGAGACTTGATACAATTCACAACAGAGTCCAACAGATTTTAAATTGTCAGGCATTTTCTTGACAGCAAAGGTCTCGTGGTGGATGTTGCAATGCATCCATTAATTTCTGGAACAACCTCTCTAATTCGTGCAACTACACCGTTATGTCGACTTGTCATTGCTCTAGCACCATCTGTACAAACTCCGACACATTTTATCCAGTCGAGCCATTCTCTTCGAGAAATTCATTCAGAAGCTGAAATATGTGCTCTCCTGTAGTTCCTGTTATTAGCAGTTTACAGAACAGAAAGTCCTCATGGGACGTACTCTCAAACTCGTATCTAATGTAAACAAGCAAATTGGCCAAATCGAGTACAGACTCATATAATTGCAGTGAAAAACTTCTGCTCATCTTAACGCGCTCTATCAGTGTACTTTTGATATAATCCTTCATTTCAATAATTCTATGAATGACTGTGTCTTTTGGGGGGAGGGGGGCAGCAGGTCGAGCTGTTTAGCAGCTTTTTCTCCACACATACTGTAATATGTGTCAGCTCTTTTGCCAATGGTAAATAAGGTTCTTCAAAAATAGTGTGGCTTACCTGCTTCAGCAATCCGCAAGCTTGCATTTTTCCGCATTTCCGTTTTTATTTAAAGTTTTTATTTCATGCGCATGGGAACGAAACATGCTCGGTGTATTTTTCTCAAATTAACTTAGAACAGTTCTTAAATATTTTTCTGTTATTTATCACGCTTTCCTGTGTTCACAAGACTACCAGCGTTCGTAGCACGTATTTCTATGCATTCCTGTGTTTACAACATTGGCATTGTTCTAAAATCACGCACATTCTCCTTCCTCCCTATTTGCTGGAGATACAGTAGCTTTTTTTAAATACAATTGGTCACTTGCATCCGTAGCACGCATTCCTATAGAGTGGTATAGAATTACAGAGTATCTCTTGTGTCCACTGAAGTATTAGCGCGCACCGTATCGTAGTACATAGGCTGCGTATTCGACACGTATTAAAATACAAAATATGAAAACCCGTCCCAATTTTTCAGCGCACACGACACAGTTCCAGGGTCATTTGGCGTACCACCTGGCGGCACTCCGCGTACCACTGCCGGTACGCGTACCACAGTTTGAGAACCACTGTATTATTATATGGGAATCAAATAAACATCTTGAAAGCATTCAAAAAGTCAGGACATTTTTTGTATGTGTGTTGCACTGATTTTAAGAAGAAGCTCTGAGTCAGCCTACTGTAAGTGGTCTGGATGAAAACATCTGTCCATCCATCCACTGGAATTTCTAGACCTGAAGTCAGCTTTCAAGTGACCCTTTTTAGGCCAAAAGTGTATCCTGTGTGATAAATTGGGTTACTATTAAAATGGAATTGCTTTAATTTCTAGTGTTAGGTTTGTTAATGATTAGACTTACAGTACAGTATATTGCTTTGTTGAAATGGATATCAGTGATATACCCCTTAGCAGGTATGTCATATATCAGCAATTGATACCACGCAGGTGCCATAAGAATGTGCAACAACATAAGCATAAGCCACATGCCACTAACCTCTGCCATATGACAAAACATCCCATTTACTTATCAGTTTAATTTATTTAAAGGTAACTTTTAGCTCGTGCAGATGCATGCTAGTCAATATAACAGGATTCATGCCTGATACCTGTGATAAAGGAAATATATATTTTTAAAATATTGTGCATTGATCATAAAAACAGTCAAAGGTGCTGTAAAAGCCACTCTCTTGATATGCATAAAACACTCTGGATTTCAACATTTTCTAAAGCATAAACATTTATAAAACTTGATAAGTGTTACTGAATTCATGTTGTTTTGTCTGTTTTCCAATAGATACTCAGTGTTTCACACTCAGTGTACCATTTCCCCATGAATTTGTACTCTCTAATGGTAAGCAACAGTTATACAGTCTAAAAGCTTTCACATTGTGTTTGTATTGCTATTAACAAAATGTACATTAAGATGAAAGAGAAATACTTATATATCTGTGTTTGAGTGTCAGGTGGGTTGGAGGAAGTTGTATTCACGTTAATTTATTTAAGTTTCTTGTTACCAGATCTTATTTCTTTCTGAAATACAGTAATGGATTAGAAAAGCAGTTTGGATGTTATAGTAAGAAAAATCCATGCATGACCTCTCCTAGGTTGAGTGTATTAGTGTGGTGGATAACTATTACTGACTAAAGAGTGAATGAACATTGTAAAACATCACTAAACTTGTTTTTAAAAGGTCTGTTAAAAGTTGTTTTTCATTAGGAATCTAATTACCAAACAAGTGATCAAGGGTCAGCTTGTATAAACACAGCTTGTTGTATCAAATCTTTTTAATTGCTACACTTATATTTACCTTGTTAAGTGTACCTTTGGTGACCAATTATATATGTCCTAGTTTCCAAGTACTTGCTCCACTACAAAAGTCTAATTGGCTTTGGTGTTATTGTGAAGCAATTGTTTGGTTTTCTTTTCCTTTCTTGTGGGAATAAAATTTGTCCTTAGCTAATTTATTTACTCTACACAGGCTGCAACTGCTCATTAGGAGAAATAACACGGACAGACTATTTTAATGAGTATGTCAGCACCAACAAGGCCACAGTCCAGTTCTATATATTAAAAAAAATATTGATCAAAAGCAATAGGGCTGTTAGTGTACAATACTGAGTTAATTTTTGGTGTGTAAATAGCCAATTCACACCAAATACACACACAAAGACACACCTCAGGTTCATGAATCAACACTGCATTTATTGTTTCTCCAGGCATGCAGATTCCTACTGTATCATTTAGTGTAGCTAATTTACAAATGAAGGAGCAGTTGAAAAAAGTAAAGATTCTTTTCCTAAGAAGTAACCTTTCCCTTCCGTTAAAGACAGAACAGCAATAAGAACTAATAAAGACATTTTTTAAATTATATTAACAAAAACAGAAAATAACTTTATGCTCCCTAAATTATTATGAGACAAGATAACAAACAATGAGCTTATTTTTGGGGGAATATTTATTATATATTTTATTATTATACTATCTTTCATAGAAAACATTTTTTCATTTGCTTGGAACTCCTCATAAATTTCAATATTTACTGGTGCAAGTGATATTTGGTTGAATTTCTCTTCTTTGGGACTTTTATATGCTTTTTCAAAAGCACTCCATCTCTTTAAAGTGCCATACTGCTTTTATGTTTCCTTTACGTGGTGAAAGATTAACTTAATTGACAGAATTGACTGAGAATAAAGAGTAAATAAAAGATAATTTTCTGTGAGGAAGCAATGTTTGTCTGACTTCTGCATTTTTCCAGTTTGCAAGCATCTTTCATTAGGACAGTTTATACCTTGTGGAATATGCAATGGTTTTCACAGTAATTACTGTACAGAAATAATTGGCTCTTCTGTGCCCTGCCACATTCATCAGGGCAACAGTTAAGTGTCCAGTGGCTGTTAACAATTCAATGCTGCTAATACCAGTGCAACAGGTCATTAAGATGTATCTTTGTTTTGTTTGCAAAGTAAGAGGTCATTAAGCCATAGTTACTGTTGTACACTGATCAAATCCCCTGCCATCCTACTATAATGAACTTGCAGGAGAAAATGGAACACATAGAACAAGGCAGGGGGCAGGATTGAGAAAGAGTTGTCAAAAGCCAGGTTAATTCTGCAGCTCAAATAATTGTTTGTCAATTTGACCAAAAGCTAAAGGGTTGTATTAAGAAATATTGGCAATTCCTTATCTGTATATTTATAATACCTTCATAACTACTACACAATACATTATTAAGTGCTTAGAGAAACCACATTTAGGGGCGTTATATAAAATAAATGTTATTATTATTCACTATTAGGTGCATAGTGCTTTACATGGACACAGGAATTGTAACAAGTGGTATAAATGATGCTAAAACAAATATCATGACGACATGCACTTTATGTCCCAGTAAAGCATTATGCATGTGATAGTCACATCTTGTGCAGCAGATATTAAAGAATTATTAAGACAATTATCCAGAAAAATAATTTAAGTGATACAGGCCTCAACTAACATACTTTTCATGACTAGTTTCACAAATACTGGGTCCTGCTACCAAAACAGAATATCTGAGTGTTCGATAAACGTACTGAAAAATGCCTATAAATTGCATAACATAAAAGTTAATTTCTTGGAACATATCATGCACTCCTTTTTCTAATAACACATGCAAGGCTGAAGTTGCATACATGACGTAGTATTTAATCGCTCTGTATAAATCCATAACACACAAATCCTCATGAATGAAAAATGTATTTTCATCAACAATATTATTCCTTAGACTATTACTAAAACAATATTAATCTCATCTGTCTGTAAAACAGGTATTCTTGATTATGCTTTATGTTTGTAATTTAGTTTTTCTAGTGCACTAGACATTAGACACCCAGAATTTAAAAAGCTCATCTCACATTGCCACTTGTGCATCTTCAGGCTGAGGTTTGTCATGTATATCACAAAGCACTTTTCCGATTAACTCAGAAAAGGGCCCCACTTCAAAAACACAATGTGCTGTGTCTGATCAGTGGGACGCACATATTTATTAAAATACCATTGTGTTCCATTGCAGGTGTGTAATGATGATGTACAAATATATAAAGATTAATTTTGACCATTTTCTGTTCATGCTTTGATATTCAACTATGATGTATTCTAAAAACAAGCATTGGAGCTCTGTCTGTTGTCATAGATGAGTACCTTCTTTTCACAGTGCATTACTTCATGGGTCAGAGCTTGCTTTTAACACTAAACACAGCATTGCTAAATACAGTAAATGACACCAGCATCGACAATGACACATGACACTGATGAAGAACTAGCTTTGTTTACAAAAGAAAATAAAAGACGATGTGACAATAGTTAATCATTGGGTACATTTTATTTATTGAAAAGTAAAACGTACAGTAAACAAACTAAACTTTTGCAAATACAAAGAAAAATGTAAATAGCTAGGGAATTAAAATTTATTATTTTCACCCACATTAGAAATGTTTGAAAACGTTGGAGAGATATGAATTATGGTAATGTAATTATTAATTAACACATCATTAAAAAATGTAACCGTTTAAATACACTTCTAATTCCACTCTGGATTTGTAAAATCTAGGTACTGACAGCTGTTTGGAATTAGAATAATAGATATTAGTATATTCAGATGGTTCTGTTTTCTAATGTTGGAAATCAGTTTCTAATTCACATTCTCATAACCCATTGTGACTGCTAGCTCTTAAAATTCATCACAGCATTGTAAGGCAAATCGATTGTAAGGTGGATGATTAGTGTGCAAGTATGGGTACACAAACAGTACATAAAACCCTCGTATATGTGCTTAGAAACAAATCTTCCACACTCTTATTACCCATTGTTCGTGTACAATGTCTTCTTGTGTAACACAGAACATTTTTCAATGTTTGCAGAGTATGGTTTAATTGAGTATACTAGAGAAATGTTCAGGTTCCTACTGGTTTTATATTTTTTTGTTAAGAAAATATAATGAGGTATATATAAGGAAAAACAATATCACATGCACCTTATAAAGACTGAAATTTAATATATATTCCAGGATTTTTGCAAAGTATTTCCTTGTTAACAATAAAAATAATAATAATAATAATAATGATGATGATAATAATAATTGTTTACGCTTATATAGCGCTTTTCTGGACACTCCACTCAAAGCGCTTTGCAGGACTCCCCTCCACCACCACCAGTGTGCAGCCCCACCTGGATGATGGGACGGCAGCCATAGTGCTCCAGAATGCTCACCACACACCAGCTCTCAGTGGGGAGGAGAGCAGAGTAATAAAGCCAATTCATAGAGGGGGATTATTAATGGGAAGCTTGACAGTTTGAGAAGAGATTGAGAAATTCTGAAGAAAAGAAACATTCACTGATATCTTAATTTATTGGTATTGACTGGTACTACCAACTTTCGCCTCATTCTGAACAATCTCACAATCACGTTTCGAATCTCTTTTGTTCGTACCCCATAGATAATGGGATTGAGACCAGCAGGGAAGACTATGTACATTATCCCCAGAAAAGTGTGTGCATCTGTTGGAATGGCGATTCTGAGATTGTGTGCTAAAAACGTGACGCTGCCCGTGAGGTAAAAAAACAACATCACTATCAGATGGGTGCCACAGGTGTGGAACGCTTTCCAGCGCCCTTCTACTGATGCGGTTCTTAGGACAGCTTTCAAAATCATAATATAAGAAAAGACAATAACCGAGACATCACAGCCTACAAAACAGATAATCACTATCAATCCCATTGTTTCATTTCTGCTAGTGCTGCCACAGGACAAAGAAACCAGTGCCATGTGCTCGCAGTAACACTGCTTGATAATATTGGATCCACAGAAAGACAGGGAGTGGGCCAGAATAACGAGGCTGGTCATTATTGATCCACTCCTGACCGCAGTAAAAATGCTGAGTTTTAAAAACACTGTCGAGTTCATGATTTCATTGTAGCGCAAAGGAATGCAAATGGCAATAAACCTATCCAAGGCCATGGCCAAGAGGATTGTGGATTCAA